TGTTATTTTGTTTCATATGTGATGATGATGATAACCAAGATTGTCAAAACAATAAACATGATGCTGTTTGTCTGTACATTGTTTTAAGTGCTCCTGCAAAATAAATTACATATAAATGCATATGTAAACGTTGCAAAAATCTTCGACAAGTGTGATCGTGATGTAATACCAGCAAAATGTGTGTGAAAGGAAAAAATGGAAACATGGGCTGATGGATTTTTAACTTTCTAAGAAATAAAATGCAAAGAGTAATAGTAAAAGTCTAAGACTGCCACAGAGAAAAGTTCTGTTCCCCAAGGCACAGCACTCACCCCCATCCTTTTCCTCATTCTCATATCCCACACAGGCATAAATCATAGCACTATCATCCTTTGCAGATACAGTGGACCCCCGGTTAACGATATTTTTTCACTCCAGAAGTATGTTCAGGTGCCAGTACTGACTGAATTTGTTCCCATAAGAAATATTGTGAAGTAGATTAGTCCATTTCAGACCCCCAAACATACACGTACAAACGCACTTACATAAATGCACTTACATAATTGGTCACATTCGGAGGTAATCGTTATGCGGGGGTCCACTGTATTAGAATTTACATAAGTTACATCCAGTGAGGACACAGCAAATCTCCAAGCTGATGTAAACTAAATCTTACAGTAGTACTCTTAAGGGTACTCTCATGTAGCTTACAATAAATTATCATGTGATGTGTAATAAACATTACTCTCATGTAATGTGCAATGAACATCACTTTCATGTAATGTGTAGTAATAAACATTATGTACAACATACATTACTTCATGTATCATGTAATAAACTTCACTCTTATGTATTATATACTAATAAACATTACTCTTATAGAATATACAATAAACATGTCTCTTTTACTTACCTGAACACAATACAGTGGTACCTCGGGATACAAATTTTTTTTGTTCCATAAGACTATTTGAGTGCCGATATTGAACAAATTTGTTCCCGTAAGGAATAATGTAAATCAGAATAATCCATTTCAGACCCCCAAAAATACACTTACAAAAGCACTTACATAAATACACTTGCATAATTGTTTGAGCTTTGAGCTGTTCGTATCCTGAGGTACCACTGTATATTAACCTTCATATACTGCACATTATTTACATCAAACACGGATTTTTTTTAGGTTTTGTTAAGTAACACTGAAAATTATATTTGAGAATGTAAACATGGACAATGGACTATGCCCAATGATGCTTGAATTTCCTGTGTTTATAATTACTATTAATAAGTTTACTTATAGGTAGTAGATTGGTAGACAGCAACCACCCAGGGAGGTACTACCGTCCTGCCAGATGACTGTGAAACAGAAACCTGTAACTGTTTTGCATGATGGTAGGATTGCTGGTTTCTTTTTCTGTCTCATAAACACGCTAGATAACAGGGATATCTTGCTACTCCTACTTACACTTTGGTCACACTTCACAGACACGCACATGCATATATATATACATACATCTAGGTTTTTCTCCTTTTTCTAAATAGCTCTTGTTCCTCTTTATTTCTTCTATTGTCCATGGGGAAGTGGAAAAGAATCTTTCCTCCGTAAGCCATGCGTGTCGTATGAGGCGACTAAAATGCCGGGAGCAATGGGCTAGTAAACCCCTTCTCCTGTAGACATTTACTAAAAAAGAGAAGAAGAAAAACTTTATAAAACTGGATGCTTAAATGTGCGTGGATGTAGTGCGGATGACAAAAAACAGATGATTGCTGATGTTATGAATGAAAAGAAGTTGGATGTCCTGGCCCTAAGCGAAACAAAGCTGAAGGGGGTAGGGGAGTTTCGGTGGGGGGAAATAAATGGGATTAAATCTGGAGTATCTGAGAGAGTTAGAGCAAAGGAAGGGGTAGCAGTAATGTTGAATGATCAGTTATGGAAGGAGAAAAAGAGAATATGAATGTGTAAATGCAAGAATTATGTGGATTAAAGTAAAGGTTGGATGCGAGAAGTGGGTCATAATAAGCGTGTATGCACCTGGAGAAGAGAGGAATGCAGAGGAGAGAGAGGATTTTGGGAGATGTTAAGTGAATGTATAGGAGCCTTTGAACCAAGTGAGAGAGTAATTGTGGTAGGGGACCTGAATGCTAAAGTAGGAGAAAACGTTTAGAGAGGGTGTGGTAGGTAAGTCTGGGGTGCCAGGTGTAAATGATAATGGGAGCCCTTTGATTGAACTTTGTATAGAAAGGGGTTTAGTTATAGGTAATACATATTTGAAGAAAAAGAGGATAAATAAGTATACAAGATATGATGTAGGCGAAATGACAGTAGTTTGTTGGATTATGTATTGGTAGATAAAAGACTGTTGAGTAGACTTCAGGATGTACATGTTTATAGAGGGGCCACAGATATATCAGATCACTTTCTAGTTGTAGCTACACTGAGAGTAAAAGGTAGATGGGATACAAGGAGAATAGAAGCATCAGGAAGAGAGAGGTGAAGGTTTATAAACTAAAAGAGGAGGGAGTTAGGGTAAGATAAAAACAGCTATTGGAGGATAGATGGGCTAATGAGAGCATAGGCAATGGGGGTCGAAGAGGTATGGGGTAGGTTTAAAAATGTAGTGTTAGAGTGTTCAGCAGAAGTTTGTGGTTACAGGAAAGTGGGTGCGGGAGGGAAGAGGAGCGATTGGTGGAATGATGATGTGAAAAGAGTAGTAAGGGAGAAAAAGTTAGCATATGAGAAGTTTTTACAAAGTAGAAGTGATGCAAGGGGGGGAAGAGTATATGGAGAAAAAGAGAGAGGTTAAGAGAGTGTGAAGCAATGTAAAAAGAGAGCAAATGAGACAGTGGGTGAGATGTTATCAACAAATTTTGTTGAAAATAAGAAAAGTTTTGGAGTGAGATTAACAAGTTAAGAAAACCCAGATAACAAATGGATTTGTCAGTTAAAAATAGGAGAGGAGAGTTATTAAATGGAGAGTTAGAGGTATTGGGAAGATGGAGGGAATATTTTGAGGAATTGTTAAATGTTGATGAAGATAGGGAAGCTGTGATTTCGTGTATAGGGCAGGAGGAACAACATCTTGTAGGAGTGAGGAAGAGCCAGTTGTGAGTGTGGGGGAAGTTCGTGAGGCAGTAGGTAAAATAAAAAGGGGTAAGGCAAGCCGGGATTGATGGGATAAAGATAGAAATGTTAAAAGCAGGGGGGGATATAGTTTTGGAGTGGTTGGTGCAATTATTTAATAAATGTATGGAAGGGGGTAAGGTACCTAGGGGATTGGCAGAGAGCATGCATAGTTCCTTTGTATAAAGGCAAAGGGGATAAAAGAGAGTGCAAAAATTATAGGGGAATAAGTCTGTTGAGTTTTACTGGCAAAGTGTATGGTAGAGTTATTATTGGAAAGACTTAAGAGTAAGCGGAGAATAGGATAGCAGATGAACAAGGAGGCTTTAGGAAAGGTAGGGGGTGTGTGGACAGGTGTTTACAGTGAAACATATAAGTGAACAGTATTTAGATAAGGCTAAAGAGGTCTTGTGGCATTTATGGATTTGGAAAAGGCGTATGACAGGGTGGATGGGGGGGCAATGTGGCAGATTTTGCAGGTGTATGGTGTAGGAGGTAGTTACTGAAAGCAGTGAAGAGTTTTTCGAGGTTTAGTGAGGCTCAAGTTAGAGTATGTAGGAAAGAGGGAAATTATTTCCCAGTAAAAGTAGGCCTTAGACAAAGATGTGTGATGTCACCGTGGTTGTTTAATATATTTATAGATGGGGTTGTAAGAGAAGTTTAAAAGCGAGGGGCTTGGCAAGAGGCGTGGAGTTAAAAGATAAGAATCACACACAAAGTGGGAGTTGTCACAGCTGCTCTTTGCTGATGAACTGTGCTCTTGGGAGATTCTGAAGAGAAGTTGCGAGATTGGTGGATGAATTTGGTAGGGTGTGCAAAAGAAGAAAATTAAAGGTGAATACAGGAAAGAGTAAGGTTATGAGGATAACAAAAAGATTAGGTGATGGGAAAGATTGAATATCAGATTGGAGGGAGAGAGTATGGAGGAGGTGAATGTATTCAGATATTTGGGAGTGGACGTGTCAGCGGATGGGTCTATGAAAGATGAGGTGAATCATAGAATTGATGAGGGGAAAAGAGTGAGTGGTGCACTTAGGAGTCTGTGGAGACAAAGAACTTTGTCCTTGGAGGCAAAGAGGGGAATGTATGAGAGTATAGTTTTACCAACGCTCTTATATGGGTGTGAAACATGGGTGATGAATGTTGCAGCGAGGAGAAGGCTGGAGGCAGTGGAGATGTCATGTCTGAGGGCAATGTGTGGTGTGAATATAATGCAGAGAATTCGTAGTTTGGAAGTTAGGAGGAGGTGCGGGATTACCAAAACTGTTGTCCAGAGGGCTGAGGAAGGGTTGTTGAGGTGGTTCGGACATGTAGAGAGAATGGAGCGAAACAGAATGACTTCAAGAATGTATCAGTCTGTAGTGGAAGGAAGGCGGGGTAGGGGTCGGCCTAGGAAAGGTTGGAGGGAGGGGGTACAGGAGGTTTTGTGTGTGAGGGGCTTGGACTTCCAGCAGGCATGCGTGAGCGTGTTTGATAGGATGTGAATGGAGACAAATGGTTTTTAATACTTGACGTGCTGTTGGAGTGTGAGCAAAGTAACATTTATGAAGGGGTTCAGGGAAACCGGCAGGCCGGACTTGAGTCCTGGAGATGGGAAGTACAGTGCCTGCACTCTGAAGGAGGGGTGTTAATGTTGCAGTTTAAAAACTGTAGTGTAAAGCACCCTTCTGGCAAGACAGTGATGGAGTGAATGATGGTGAAAGTTTTTATTTTTCGGGCCACCCTGCCTTGGTGGGAATCGGCCAGTGTGATAATAAAAAAAAAATGTATGGATATGTAATTTGTACATACAATACAGAACACTCAATGATTTTAATAAAGTGTGAGTTTTTACCTCATTATCCTGCAGTGTGAAATAAAACTTTAATGTCTCCAAACCTGTGAAAGAAAGTCTTGTAAGGAAAAATTAGCAAATATTTTATTTCATAAAAAATACAGAAATTCTGGCATTATGAGGTTAATAAACAAAATACCTATCAATTCTATGAAGTAGAGTACGTAATTAGTACAACTCATACAAACACAGTTGTATAGGTGCAGAGATCAGCTCAAACTGTCAATACACCACTACCAAATGACAACTGCATGTCTGATTACTTTGGTCATTTTTTGACCAAATGTATTTATTTCTTTGTGGATGATCATTTTGTGCATGTGTGGCATGGTAATTACTGAAAATAAATGTCAAGAAAAGTTTTCCTACATTCTGACAATGTGTTATGCAGTGAGGCCTCATAATACTGTACTATTTTTCACATTTTGTTTTTTATATTACTGGATCAGAGACTGTCAGAGGATGTTAATATCTGGATCCACCACAACAAACATAACAGAAGTTATTCTTGTGGCTTCATGAATTTAATTTTCTTGTTAATGTGTGCCCCATTATTTTCGGACATCTTGATGTCTCTATCATCGTCATAAAAGCCACCTTGCTCTGGGCTCCTGAAGTTCCCTCCTCTTTTGCCTCTTCCCCTGAAGTTCCCTCTGCTTTTGCCTCTTCCCCTGAAGTTCCCACCTCTTCCACTCCTTCCCCTGAAATTCCCTCCTCTTCTGCCCCTGCCTCTAAAATTATCTCCACCATGATTATTACCCTGGAAGCTACCTACTCTATGGTGACCACCGCTGAAGTTGCCACTGTCTTTACTTTTATCCCGAAAAATGGGTCTAGTTAGATTTTTAATACCAGCAGGTTTGGCTTGATCGTGCTCACTGCTTCGCTTTCTTTCACTGTTCTGCTTGCCATGAGTCCTCTCAATGACACCATCATGTGTGTCATCATAATCATCTTTCTCTGTAGCTATGTCGTCTAGTTGGTCACTCTTCCTCTTTCTGTGCTTATTGGTTGGACGATAAACCTGTGCCATTTCCTCTGCAGTTACATCAGTGTCCATCTCACCGACTTTTTGTGGTGGTAAAGCCCTGGGAAGAAAAATTTGACCTTAAACACTGATCATACACACTATATTATAATCCCTCCCCAAATTGTATTTCATGAAGTGCTCAACCCATATGTCATTCAACTGCCAGATCAACTAGGCTGTGATGGATATGTGGACCAGTGGGCCACCAGCAGCAACAGCTTGGTTGATCAGGCAAGCACCAGATGAGCCTGGCTTAAAGCTGGACTCCAGGAGTATAAAAACTCTTGAAACCATCAAAGGTACTTCTGTCCACTTATTGTAGCCACTCTTAGTGATTTTAATGTGTACCTGTATGCTAGCACAGTGTGTAAGCTTACTTAGGTACAGGTACACATAAGTATAATTATCAGAGTACAGTAGGGCCCCGCTTTACGGTGTTTCACTTTACGGCATTCTGCTAATACGATCATTTCAAATTATGACCAAAACTCTCTATACGGCTCCCCCTACCTGACTTTCTAATACGGTCACTGTGCCCCACCCGGTTTGTTTATATTCTCCGTGAGATCCTTAAGCACTAAGTCTCTCCATTATGTCTAGAAACTCCAAAATTTCAAGTGTTTTCAAGTTATTTCATATTTTATATATACTTTGATAATTATACTTATGTATACCTGTACCTAAATAAACTTACACAGTGTGCTGGCATGCCGGTACACATTAAAATCAGTAAGAGTGTCTTATGTCTCGATACACCATATTAATAATAATAATAATAATAATAATAATAATAATAATAATAATAATAATCACCGAGTCTCAATAAATGTCGTATATTAAGTTAATATACACATTTTCATTAATCCATCTATGATATTTTTTCAAAATTATATAATAAACACGATACATAATACATAAAGATGATAAATATACCCCACAGTAGAATAAATAAACAAATATGAGATGTGGTAGCCAGACGACTTGTACGAGTTATGCCATATTAGTAATGATGATGATGATGATAATAATAATCACCGAGTCTCATTAAATGTCATATATTACGTTAATATACACATTTTCATTAATCCTTCTATGATATTTTTTTCAAAATTTTATAATAAACACGATACATAACATATAAAGATGATAAATACACCCCACAGCAGAATAATAAACATAAATATGAGATGTGGTAGCCAGACAACCTGTATGAGTGATGGCAAGAATAACATAAGAGAAAATGTGTTACTGGGGGTAACTGTAGAAAATTATTCCCTTCGTAAGTAAGTTTATTCAGGTATACACAAATACAGTCACATACAGTCACCCAATTTGTGTTATCTTCCCAGATTTCCCTTTCACAATTTATTACTTGTTAATAGGATGCTTACTCTTTAATAATTTCTGTATTACCATTTATTCCTACTTAAGCACTGTTATAGTTCTTCTACAATCTTACCTAATTTTCCCTCTGCTCCTAAACTACAAATAACAAACTAGTGTATGCTTCTACTACATTACAGTGCAATTCCTTGTACCATTTTCCACTAGCTAGTATCAACTACCTCAAATAATATTTCTTTAGCGATATTAATTGCTCAAAGTTTGTTATCAGGCAAATCCTACTCTCAGATTAATTTCATATCATAGTGTCAATCTATTTAAATGTTGTTTCTTCACCACTACTTAATTTAGTCCCTTTTTACATTTCTCCTGAAATAATTCTCTATAAAGCAATACACTGTACTGCCCTTTATTCAGTAATTGCTATACTCCTAGTTCTAACAATAATTAAAGAGCAACTCTCAGGAGATTTAATATTTTTTTCCCTCTTGTCCATATAGTCACATTTATTAAAATACTCCAGGTGCTACTGACTACCTCAGGTGCTACTGACTACCTCAGGTGCTACTGATTTTGTTTTAATACATTCTTGTTTTTAATACATTCTTTTATTATTATATTCACTAGCCCCTTTATTCTAGCTGTTAATATCTACCGTAGTTCATAAACTCATATTTGTTGAAAAAATTAAGGTGCTATTAGATGCTTAAGTGTATAACTGAATTATCTGTAATAGTCCCTTTTTCTTTCAAATTTTTACAAGGTTCAGAATAATTACAGAGTCTTATTCATAAGTCCAGGTGCTATTGACTACCTCAGGTGCTACTGATTTTGTTTTTAATACATTCATTTATTATTATATCCACTAGTTCCTTTGTTCTAGCTGTAAATATCTACCATAGTTCACAAACTCACGTTTGTTAAAATAATTAAGGTGCTATTAGATGCTTAATTATTTAACTGAATTATTTGTACTGTAATAATCCCTTTTTCTTTTAATTTTGTACAAGATTTAGAATAATTACAGAGTCTTATTCATAAGTCTAGTTGTAGATTAAATATAACTCTTATATTATTTTACTCAGAAAATCTCTAGTTTGTAAAATTACTCTCATCCTATGATTACAGACATAGATCCTGATGTAAACTTTTTACTAAATGAAATACACGAATCACACAGTAACTAATTACTACACAGCAGACCAAGCAAAGACATTACTCAGTGCAAACAATAACATAACCATCTTTACCTACAATATCAGATCCTTGAGCAAACATTATGATGACCTCACAGCATTACTCAATTCCCTTCAATCTAAATTATCAATCATTACACTCTCAGAAACCTGGCTTAAGCCTGATATTACAGATGTCTATACTATTCCTGGCTACATGGCCATACACAACTGTAGAACAGACCAGCAAGGGGGAGGAACAGCTATATACTACACAAATCAACTCAAATGCATCAAAAATCTTGCACAAGGGATGAACATGGAGAATATATCATAGCCAAATTTAAATCAAAAGACCTGCAAAAACCCCTCACAGTTATAAACATCTACAGAGTACCACAGTCAAACATTTATCACTTTAGTGAAAAACTAGGAAACATGATTACTGATGCACACATGAATAAAGACCACCTACTACTAACAGATTTCAACATAAACATACTACACGACCAGGACCCACAAGTAACCGAATTCACAAACACAATGAGTAACTGCCTGTTGCTACCAGCAATATCTAAACCTACAAGAATCACTGAGACAAGCATCTCCTTAATAGACCACATCTGGACAAACACCATATCCCCTTTAAAATCAGACATAATCACAGACAACACTACAGACCACTACCCAACCTTTCTCATAACTAATATGGGCAAACTGCCACAAGACATCACTAAAGTAACCTTCAGACTACATAACGAGACAGCAGTTAACAACTTTATAGCAGCTATGAATAACATCGATTGGAAAAATGAGATCGAAACACATACAGATATGAAAGAATGTATAAATAATTTTCTAAAAATAAGCCCAAAGCCTCTATAACAAACATTGCCCAAAAAAACTAAACAGATCACAGCAAAGAGACTGAATAACTCCTGGCTAACACCAAGCATCCTCAAATCCATTAACACAAAGTACAAATATGAAAAACATTATAGAATGGGCCAAATAACTAGAGAACAGTCTAAACGTTACTCGTCAGCACTTACCAGCCTGATAAGAAGATCTAAAAAATTGTATTATGAAAATAGATTACATAACATCAAAGGTGATATGAAAAAAACCTGGAAAACTCTATCATCATTCCACCAATCGCTCCTCTTCCCTCCTGCACCCACTTTCCTGTAACCACAAACTTCTGCTGAACACTTTAACACTACATTTTTAAACCTACCCCATACCTCTTCGACCCCATTGCCTATGCTCTCATTAGCCCATCTATCCTCCAATAGCTGTTTATATCTTACCCTAACTGCCTCCTCTTTTAGTTTATAAACCTTCACCTCTCTCTTCCCTGATGCTTCTATTTTCCTTGTATCCCATCTACCTTTTACTCTCAGTGTAGCTACAACTAAAAAGTGATCTGATATATCTGTGGCCCCTCTATAAACACGTACATCCTGAAGTCTACTCAATAGTCTTTTATCTACCAATACATAATCCAACAAACTACTGTCATTTCGCCCTACATCATATATTGTATACTTATTTAACCTTTAACCACTAAGCTATCTGTGATGTACTAGTATACATACATGGTACCTACATCAATGATGTACTAGTATGCATAATACACAGCACTCTCAAATTTGCTGGGCTGAAATTTTAGACCAGATGTGCAATGTATATAAAAATTCCTGCCCCCCCCCCCACACACACAGGGCATGATGGGAACAACTTCCCTCTCAGCTTTTGTAGCCATAGCTTTATGACATGAACTCCTTCACTCCCATCAGAAGTAACCATGGGTTTGAGAATATGAGCAAAGGATAAGACCATAATACCACATCAAACTCAGTCAACTCACAACCCACAACTGCAGCACCATACCACTGCAGTGATAAACAAATTTCATCTTTGTGACGAATGGTTCTGAAAGCCGACAAGTTAAAGAATTAAGATACTTATGCAACATATGGGAATCTTTACTGAAGAAACGTTTTGCCACACAGTGGCTTCATCAGTCTTATACAAAGCAGGAAGGTGTAAGGAGAAGAGGAGTTTGAGGTAATCAGTCCCTCAGCCTGGAATCGGTGTTCAGTCCATCAATCTTGTAGAAAGTACAGCACAGGGCCGAAGCAGTGGCTTATACGTATACTGTAGTCAGGTAGGACGAAGCAGGAGGAAGCGGAGTCATAGTGGAACCATCCACTAGTCTAAGTAGGTCTTCGTCCAAAGATTGGACAATCTTTGAAGAATTCTTTGTATCAAGATCCCATGATGATGCAGTGTCTGACAGATGTGATGAATGGCTTTGAAAACCAACAAATTGAAGAATTAAGACACTTACGTAACATACGGGAATCTTTATTGAAAAAACGTTTCGTCACACAGTGGCTTCATCAGTCTTATACAAAGCAAGAAGGTATAAGGAGAAGAGGAGTTTGAGGTAATGAGTCCCTCAGCCTGGAGTCGGTGTTCAGTCTCTCAGCCTGGAGTCGGTGTTCAGTCCATCAATCTTGTAGAAAGTACAGCACAGGGCCGAAGCAGTGGCTTATACGTATACTGTAGTCAGGTAGGACGAAGCAGGAGGAGGCGGAGTCATAGTGGAACCATCCACTAGTCTAAGTAGGTCTTCGTCCAAAGATTGGACAATCTTTGAAGAATTCTTTGTATCAAGATCCCATGATGATGCAGTGTCTGACAGATGTGATGAATGGTTTTGAAAACCAACAAATTGAAGAATTAAGACACTTATGTAACATACGGGAATCTTTATTGAAGAAACGTTTCGTCACACAGTGGCTTCATCAGTTTTATACAAAGCAAGAAGGTATAAGGAGAGGAGGAGTTTCAGGTAATCAGTTCCTCAGCCTGGAGTTGATGTGTTCTGTCCATCAGTCTTGTAGAAAGTACAGCACAGGACCGTAGCAGTGGCTTATATACTGTAGTCAGGTGATGAAGCCACTGTGTGGCGAAACGTTTCTTCAATAAAGATTCCCATATGTTGCATAAGTGTCTTAATTCTTCAAATTACAACTTTTCCGTGGCCTGGTAATCACAATCAATACCTATCACTAATTCCTCCTTCTGGAGAGAAGATAAAGGCTCAGAGATGTATGCTTACATCATAGAAAGACCTCCACACTGCAAAGATACAAGATTTTTTGCAAATCTTGTGAGACACCACTGTGTCTTATTCCTTGTTCCACACACTGCGTGAATTTTAATAGCATCTATAGTCACTGTACATAGTGGACATATGTTAGAAATGGTCAAAAAAAAAAAAAAGACAGAAACGTACAAAAGCACAAGCAAAGATGACGATGATTTTGTCTGAATTAACCCAGAGGATTAGTAACCCAGGATAATCCTCCAATAAAATCAGGATGTCATCAGACTGTCTTATTATTGTCAATTGGGGTCCTTTAATTCTCTCCCCCAGGATGCAACTCGCACTAGTCACCTCACATACAGGTACCTACATACTATGTGAACTGGGTAAAAAGTGTAAGGAAACATGACCAATGTTTCTGCTCGTCCAAGGATCGAACCCTGGTCCCTCAAGAGTGCAAGTTGAAGCCACTATAAAGTGAGCCATAGGCACCCAGTGAGCCATAAGAATGGCTTTCCACAGTTTACTGGTTAACAGACCTTGCTCTAATTGACTTTGGATATATGGGACAAAATCTGCTGGGCCAACTGATTTAGGAATGAGAGACAAAATCTGTTGGTTACAGAATTGGCAGTTATTGTTATGCTCCTGGCAAAACAATCTTATCTTTGTCCACCACAATTATCATTACCAGCCACCCATTCTCCCTTCTTATTAGTTTGCTAAATTAAGGATTTACTATGATAAATTAGACACATGTGCAACTCTTGGGTATCTTTATTGAGGAAACGTTTTGCCACACAGTGGCTTCATCAGTCCATACATAGGAGAAACTTGAAGAACAGGATTGATGGACTGAACACATCGACTCAAGGTTGAGGGACTGATTACCTCATTCTCCTCCTGTTCTTCAAGTTTCTCCTATGTATGGACTGATGAAGCCACTGTGTGGCGAAACGTTTCCTCAATAAAGATACCCAAGAGTTGCACATGTGTCTAATTTATCAACATGTCGGTTCTCTGAACCATTCATCTACAAAGGATTTACTATGTTTTTTAACACACACCAGCTGTCCTCAAAAAGGAAATCTATTCACTCAACTGTGATGTCTTGTCAAGACATAAACAGACATTGCCATTCAAATGACCTTCCAAACTGTACCATCCCTATCCTTCAATCAGTATTTCTCACCTCCAAGGCTCAAGTCCCAATAACCTATTTCCCAAAATCCCTTCATAAATGTTACCCTGCTCCCACTTCAGCAGCACGTTTCACCATAAAAACCACTACTTTCTTAAGAAGCAAGGTAAGCAATGCTTACCTTGTTTCTTAGGATTACACACCACTGCCAGTAAGTCAATTTAACAAGAAACAGGCTTGGTAAGTGCACATAAATTTTTCTAAAAAAAAAAAAAAAAAAAAAAAAAAAAAAAAAAAAAAAAAAAAAAATTAGATTCTCCCTCTTAGTTCCTCTTGAATCTTACTGATTAATTTTATCCTTATCTGCTATTCATTGCCTTAATAAATAATTTGACAGGTTGGTCCACATGTTACTCTCTGAAAAAAATACTCCTTTCAGTTTCAAATCTTGAATCACTTTATCTTGTGGCAGTTTCTATATAATCATTTATTGTTATTCATTCCTCCTATGATAGATCTTGTTGAACTGACATGTACTTGAAGGCTTCTTGTTTCATGTCCCTAGCTCTCTTTAATATGCTTTCTTGAGTTCTATATCTACTCGATACTGTCTTCCATAAGTGCTCAGTGCTCTTTCCACTTTAAATGTCATTAATCACTTTACAAAGTGTAAATAATATACGTATATTAATTTTAGTTCTTAGTGAAATGAGCAAGTATGCAAGAACAGGTATTTTTTTTAAGGTCCCACCATACAGGTCTATATTAGGTACATACATCTATAACAACCAATAATTTCAATATCCTCAAAATATATACAAAAATATAACAGAAAGAATAACTTACTCTTTGACCTTGTATATTCCTGTCAATCTGCCTTCATTTAATTTCTCAATGTCTTGGTCCATTCCCCCAAAGGATAAACGACATGGCAAGAAGTCCATGCAGTCATAGTAAGAGTTAACCATTAGAATCCGGTCTCTGTAAATATTATTATTAGAGTTAAAAATCATATTTTTTTCATCTTAAATTATCATTATTATATTTTTAAATTATACATTAAAACATAATTATTTATGCTGTAATAAAACAAATGCCTTTTTATTAAAAGTGGAAGGGCATTTCAATGCTACACATGAATTCTATACTGTACTCTGTTCACATCTCATTCGCACACTTACCAGCAGGCAAGATCTCTTATCAAAAAATGACCATTATACACAGGCAGGTTTCAGGACCTAGAACACTTGGATAAGGTATCGATGCATTATCCACTCATGAAATTCGCAAAACCATGAACTTAAACATATGCCATTATCAGGAACCCACATACAACATGTTATAAGAACATAAGAAAGAAGGAACACTGCAACAGGCCTACTGACCCATGCGGAGCAGGTCCATGTCCCCCCCTCCTGGATTAGACCAATGACCCACCCCCAGATTATCCCAATGACCCACCCAGTCTGGTCATCCCCACTCAAGGATGGAGCACTCTACCATACCCAGCAGCACAAGCTAGTCAGGTCCAACTCACACCCACCCACACCAACTCATGTATTTATCTAACCTATTTTTAAAACTACACAACATTTTAGCCTCAATAACTGTACTCGGGAGCTTGTTCCACTCATCCACAACTCTATTACCAAACCAGTGCTTTCCTATATCCTTCCTGAATCTGAATTTTTCCAACTTGAAACCATTGCTGCGAGTCCTGTCTTGGCTGGAAATTTTCAGCACACTATTTACATCCCCTTTATTTATTCCTGTTTTCCATTTATACACCTCGATCATATCCCCCCTTATTCTATGCCTTTCGAGAGAGAGTGCAGATTCAGGGCCCTCAGTCTATCCTCATAGGGAAGATTTCTGATACATGGGATCATCTTTGTCATCCTCCTCTGTACGTTTTCCAGAGCATTTATATCCATTCTGTAATACGGTGACCAGAACTGAGCAGCATAGTCTAAATGAGGCCTAACCAAGGATATATAGAGTTAAGAACAACCTGAGGACTTCTATTATTTATACTTCTAGATATGAAGCCAAGAATTCTGTAAGCTTTAAATGCGAAACACTAATGCACTGTTGTCTTGGTTTTAGGTTACTGCTAACCAGAACTCCTAAATCCTTTTCGCAATCGGTAGTATTAAGATTTACATTATTTAGTTTATATGTGGCATGGTTATTTAACTGTCCAACATTTAGAACTTTGCATTTGTCAATATTAAACTGCATCTGCCACTTCTCCGACCATTGCGTCAGTCTATTCAAATCATCCTGGAGTGCTCTAATGTCCTCATTAGAATGAATTGGATGGCCTATTTTGGTGTCATCAGCAAATTTGCTTATGTCGCTATTTATTCCCTCATCTATGTCGTTTATGTAAATTGTGAACAACAACGGGCCCAACACTGATCCCTGAGGAACACCGCTTGTGACGTGCCCCCATTCTGATTTCTCCCCATTTATGCAAACTCTCTGCTGTCTATTTGTCAGCCATGCATCTACCCAGGAAAAAATTTCTCCTCCTATTGCGTGTGCCCTAAGTTTCCTCAATAGCCTCTGGTGTGGAACTCTTATCAAAAGCCTTACTGAAGTCCATATACACAATATCATATTCATTACCATGACCATGTATGTCTATTATATATCACCTTTTATATTACACTAAAACTAAGAACTGCACATTTTCTACTAATAATATGCTTGTCAACAAAGGTTAATGACCCTTATTTCTCCCACTGAAATACAGGTTCTGTATGTGCAAAGCCATCATCCACAAGCTTCTCAAAGACTGCCTCCCTTGCAGACACAGAAGGGGGTTACTATAGGTGTTATCTCAGTACTTTATTTTGATTTTAAATTTGACTAAGCTGGTAAGTACAGTGGAACCTCTACTTGCGAGCGTGTCCATGTGCGAGTTTTTATAAATACGAGCAGTTGATGGGTCAATTTTTTGCTTCCATACGCGAGCAAAATTTCCACAAGCGAGCAGACCTCAGACAGGTTCCTTGACACTGGTGAGGGGCTCTTGCTCTTTATCTCGAGAATTGTATCTCATTTGTTTGTTGGACTATCTTATTGAAACTTGGGCAATGTATGATGGAAAGATGCTTCTTAACCCTTTGAGGGTCGACAGGCCCTCTCCGAGACTCGTTCTCAGGGTCGGCCAAATTTAAAAAAAAAAAAAAATAAATTTTTTCTTATGAAAAGATAGAGAATCTTTTCCCAATCATAATGACACCAAAAATATGAAATTTGATGGAAAACTTATGGAATTATGCTCTCGCGAAGTTAGCGGTCTTGACAATGTTTACGGATCGGCGATTTTGCCCACTTTGAGCCCCATTTTCAGCCAGCTCCACTGTACTAGTCGACAAAAAACATGAATATTTCGCTAGAACTCCATATTTTCTATTGAATGAATGCAATAAACCACCCATTTACCAATTTCAACTATCCAGTTCAGTGGTCAGAATTTAGCAATTTTGCCAATTTCACACAAATTTCAAAAGATGCCAATTTCCGAATACGGTCCAGAACAAACAAGAAATACATTCCTGGCACTAAAATGACATTTCCTCTGTTCATTAGTCACGTCTCAAGGCCCCTCTTACATTCTTTTGCTTTCCACTTTGAATTTTTATTCTCACAAAAAATAGAAGGTTTACTGTTATGCAGACTACTGCATTAGTGTAAAAAATGGTATGAATCATATTGGCGCACTTGCAAAAGAATATTAGACTCACCAGTTGACGTGTATTGGACGCTTGGCATGATTTGTTTACTTTTGAACTTTGGTAAAAATCAAACATTTCTGCTACTTTGAGCTCAATTTCAAGGTACTTTTCATTGTAAAAACCAGTCAAGTCATCTCAATTTCTATGATATGCCTTCCATTCTATAAAATGAGACCAAGAAAACTAGAATACAACAATAAATACCATACGAAAATACAGTGCAAAGTCGCTGTTTTATTCCAAAAAAACGGTCAAAGTTTTTTTTTTCTCATTATGCACTGTGTGCTGCAGGATTTTTTTTATACCGTGCACACTGACCACATAGACCCATTCTTTCATATTGAGGCCTACCAGCTTTCTCCCACTAGATTTGAGGGCGCTAGAATTTAGGAGTACTAGTACGTCAAAAACCCTGGGTCGTAAGCCGTACTAGTACGTCCGAAACCCTCAAAGGGTTAATGTACACCAAAAATGAAAGAAATCTAAGCATAAATAATGGAGTTCACTTCTTAGCAATTAGCCACCCCTTAGCGGTATATTCATATGGTTTTTATGGTTGTATTCTCGTTTTTTTGGTCTCATTTGATAAAATGGAAGATATATTACAGAAATAGATGTGATTTTGATTGCTTTCACAACGAAAAGTACCTTGAAATTGAGCTCAACGTAGAAGAAATGGTCCATTGCGTGGCTATGTTTAAGAGTAAACAAATTATGTCACTGTCCATTCCAATATGCAGTCATGAATGGGTTGACATTATTTATACAATTATTGCAATAAGAAATAACAGTAAATCTTATATTTCTTGTGTGAATAAAAATTACAAATTATTTATATAATAATAATAATAATATGTAATAATAATAATAATAATAATAATAATAATAATAATAATAATAATATGTATAATAATAATAATACAATAATAATAATACATATGTATAATAATAATACATATATAATAATAATATGTATAATAATAATACATATATAATAATAATGTACTACATATAATAATTATAATAATAGATGGCTTCAAAAGGCCGTCACTAGATAGCAGTGTTTACCACAACAAAGAGGGAGCGGTTGTGGCCGCCTCCACCTGTTACATAATGACAGATTTTCTTCATTCTAGAGTAGACATCAGGTTTCTATGCGATTTATATTGTTTATTATTTCATATTAGAAGAACTGTGATAGATAAATAAGCTGTAGAGTTGATCATAGTAAAATATTCTAGTAGTATGTTGTCCTGTCTCCAGACAAACTCCTGTCGGCCGCCGACACCGCCCATACCACTACATGAATGACGTATTTTATTCATTCTAGAGTATATATCAGGTTTCTACGTTATTTACACTGTTATGTCATATTAGATGAACTGTGATAGATAAATAAGCCGTATAGATGATACTAGCAAAATTATTCATGAAGTATTTTGCCCAGTCTCCAGACAAACTCTCGTCCACCGCCGACACTGCCCATACCACTACATGAATGACATATTTTACTCATTTTAGAGTATGTATCAGATTTCTATGTTATTTATATTGTTTATTATGTCATATAAGATGAAGTGAGATGGATAAATAAGCCGTAGAGTTGATATTAGCGAAATTATTGAAGTACAGAATTCCATTGGAATGGATTAATTGCATTTCAATTAATTTAAATGAGGAAAATTTACTCTGCAAACGAGCAAATCCAGTTGCGAGCAAGGTCATGGAACGGATTAAACTTGCAAGTAGAGGTTCCACTGTATTTAAAGGGCTTTATAATTATAATAAAAAAGCAAAATGCCAAACCCTTCCACCTTGCGTACCCCTCCCCACACACACTGTTCAAAGAGGATGCTTCTCCTCTCTTGCTTAGAGAAAGGTCAATTCTACTTATTGTGGTATAGTGCCACCAGTTTTGAGAGTTGTTCTATACCCACAGTCCAGTCTGAGGCCTAGCTAGCTCTTCTGTTGATTGCCTGTTCAACCAAGATGTTGCTGTCTGTCCCACTGGCCAACATATCCACCACATGACTGATCTGGTCCTTGGCAGAGGTGATCCAGTTTGCTCTTGAAGGTTACAACAATTGTTCAGGCAATATTTCTGACATTTGTTAGAAGCATATTGGACTCCAGATGCTTGCAGAGCGTTCTCTTAAAATCAATCAATATCTCTCTCTCTCTATATCTATTTTTTTTTATTAGCACACTGCCCAATTCCCACCAAGGCAGGGTGGC